GGCCAAGGTCCAATAGGTACTTCCTTCCCAACCAAAAGCTAATCAGGCAAACCCCCGGACTATTTGCACTGCCCCCCCCACCCCATCCTTTTTACGCTGCTGCTACTCTGTTAAGTATTTATGCATAGTCACTTTAACTCTACCCACATGTACATATTACCTCAACTACCTCAACTAGCCGGTGCCCCCGCACATTGACTATGCAACGGTACCCCCCTGTATATATAGCCTCCCTACTGTCACTTTATTTTACTGTATATATAGCCTCCCTACTGTCACTTTATTTTACTTCTGCTCTTTTTTTCTCAACACTTTTTTGTTGTTGTTTTATTCTTACTTTTTTGTTTAAAATAAATGCACTGTTGGTTAAGGGCTGTAAGTAAGCATTTCACTGTAATGTCTGCACCTGTTGTATTCGGCGCATGTGACCAATAAAATTTGATTTGATTTGATTTGATTTATAAGATAATATTAATGTGTTAATGCTGCTCTAACATGTATCACATAGTCTTGATGTGTTAATGCTGCTCTAACATGTATCAAATAGTATTGATGTTGTAATGCTGGTCTAACATGTATCAGATCATCTTGATTTGTTAATGCTGGTCTAACATATATCAGATGATATTAATGTGTTAATGCTGCTCTAGCATGTATCACATAGTCTTGATGTGTTAATGGTGCTCTAAAATGTATCAGATAAACTTGATGTGTTAATGCTGGTCTAACATGTATCAGAAAATCTTAATGTGTTAAAGCTGCTCTAACATGTATCAGATCATCTTGATGTGTTAATGCTGCTCTATCATGTATCACATTGTATTGATATTGTAATGCTGCTCTAACATGTATCAGATCATCTTGATGTGTTAATGCTGCTCTAACATGTATCACATAGTATTGATATTGTAATGCTGCTCTAAAATGTATCAGATCATCCTGATGTGGTAATGCTGCTCTAAAATGTATCAGATAATCTTGATGTGTTAATGCTGCTCTAACATGTATCAGATAATCTTGATGTGTTAATGCTGCTCTAACATGTATAAGATCATCTTTATGTGTTAATGCTGCTCTTAAATCTATCAGATAATATTGATGTGTTAATGCTGCTTTAACATGTATCAGATAATCTTGATGTGTTTTTGCTGCTCTAACATGTATCAGAGAATATTGATGTGTTAATGCTGCTCTAACATGTATCAGATAATCTTAATGTGTTAATGCTGCTCTAACATGTATCAGATAATCTTAATATGTTAATGCTGCCCTTACATGTATAAGATAATCTTAATGTGTTAAAGCTGCTCTAACATGTATCAGATAATCTTAATGTGTTAATGCTGTTCTAACATGTATCAGATAATCTTAATGTCTTAATGCTGCTCTAACATGTATCAGATAGTCTTAATGTGTTAATGCTGCTCTAACATGTATCAGATAATCTTGATGTGTTAATACGGCTCTAACATGTATCAGATAATATTGATGTGTTAATGCTGCTCTAACATATATCAGATAATCGTAATATGTTAATGCTGTTCTAACATGTATCAGATAATATTAATGTGTTAATGCTGATCTAACATGTATCAGAAAATATTGATGTGTTAATACTGCTCTTACATATATCAGATTATCTTAATATGTTAATGCTGCTCTAACTTGTATCTGATACTCTTGATGTATTAATACTAGTCTAACATGAATCAGATAATCTTAATGTGTTTATGCTGCTCTAACATGTATCAGATCATCTTGATGTATTAATGCTGCTCTAACATGTATCAGATAGTATTGATGTGTTAATGCTGTTTTAACATCTATCAGATAATCTTGATATTTTAATGCTGGTCTAACATGTATCAGATCAACTTGATGTGTTAATGCTGCTCTAACATGTATCAGATAATCTTGATGTGTTAATGCTGGTCTAACATGTATCAGATAATATTGATGTGTTAATGCTGCTCTAACATGTATCAGATAATATTGATGTGTTAATGCTGCTCTAACATGTATCAGATAATCTTAATATGTTAATGCTGCTCTAACATGTATCAGATAATCTTGATGTGTTAATGCTGCTCTAACATGTGTCAGATAGTCTTGATGTGTTAATGCTGCTCTAACATGTATCAGATAATATTAATGTGTTAATGCTGCTCAAAAATGTATCAGATAGTATTAATGTGTTAATGCTGCTCTAACATATATATGATAGTATTGATGTGTTAATGCTTCTCTAACTTGTATCAGATAATATTAATGTGTTAATGCTGGTCTAACATGTATCAGATGTTCTTGATGTGTTAATGCTGGTCTAACATGTAGCAGATAATCTTGATGTGTTATTGCTAGTCTAACATGTATCAGATCATCTTAATGTGTTAATGCTGCTCTAACATGTATCAGATTATCTTAATGTGTTAATGCTGCTCTAACATGTAGCAGATAATCTTGATGTGTTATTGCTAGTCTAACATGTATCAGATAATCTTAATGTGTTAATGCTGCTCTAACATGTATCAGATTATCTTAATCTGTTAATGCTGCTCTAACATGTAGCAGATAATCTTGATATGTTAATGCTGCTCTAACATGTATCAGATAATATTAATGTGTTAATGCTGCTCTAACATGTATAAGATAATCTTAATGTGTTAATGCTGCTCTAACATGTATCAGATCATCTTAATGTGTTAATGCTGCTCTAACATGTATCAGATCATCTTAATGTGTTAATGCTGCTCTAACATGTATCAGATCATCTTAATGTGTTAATGCTGCTCTAACATGTATCAGATCATCTTAATGTCTTAATGCTGCTCTAACATGTATCAGATAATCTTAATGTGTTAATGCTGCTCTAACATGTATCAGATCATCTTAATGTGTTAATGCTGCTCTAACATGTATCAGATCATCTTAATGTCTTAATGCTGCTCTAACTTGTATCAGATAATCTTAATGTGTTAATGCTGCTCTAACATGTATCAGATAATCTTAATGTGTTAATGCTGCTCTAACATGTATCAGATAATATTGATGTGTTAATGCTGCTCTAACATGTATCAGAATATCTTAATGTGTTAATGCTGCTCTAACATGTATCAGATAGTCTTAATGTGTTAATGCTGCTCTAACATGTATCAGATAGTCTTAATGTGTTAATGCTGCTCTAACATGTATCAGATAGTCTTAATGTGTTAATGCTGCTCTAACATGTATCAGATAGTCTTAATGTGTTAATGCTGCTTTAACCTGTATCAGATCATCTTAATGTGTTAATGCTGCTCTAACATGTATCAGATCATCTTAATGTGTTAATGCTGCTCTAACATGTATCAGATAGTCTTAATGTGTTAATGCTGCTCTAACATGTATCAGATAGTCTTAATGTGTTAATGCTGCTCTAACATGTATCAGATCGTCTTAATGTGTTAATGCTGCTCTAACATGTATCAGATAGTCTTAATGTGTTAATGCTGCTTTAACATGTATCAGATCATCTTAATGTGTTAATGCTGCTCTAACATGTATCAGATCATCTTAATGTGTTAATGCTGCTCTAACATGTATCAGATCATCTTAATGTGTTAATGCTGCTCTAACATGTATCAGATAGTCTTAATGTGTTAATGCTGCTCTAACATGTATAAGATAATCTTAATGTGTCAATGCTGCTCTAACATGTATCAGATTATCTTAATGTGTTAATGCTGCTCTAACATGTATCAGATAATCTTAATGTGTTAATGCTGCTCTAACATGTATCAGATCATCTTAATGTGTTAATGCTGCTCTAACATGTATCAGATAATCTTAATGTCTTAATGCTGCTCTAACATGTATCAGATAGTCTTAATGTGTTAATGCTGCTCTAACATGTATCTGTCACGGTTTCGGCCGAGGCTGCTCCTCCTCCTTGTTCGGGCAGGCTTCGGCGGTCGTCGTCTCCGGAGTACTAGCTGCCACCGTTCTATGTTTCGATGTTTGTTTGGTTTGGTCTGTTTTTTACACCTGTTCAATGTTAGTGTTAATTATGTGTCCTATAAGTTCTCTTGGGTTTTGTCATGTGTTGTGTGTAATTGTTTCTTATGTCAGCAAAGGCTTCTAGTACTTTCTCTCTCTCGTGATTTGTTTGGAGAGAGTGTTCGCACAGTGTGC